CGTAGCCAGTTATTAGTCATCACTTAATTCAAGCGTCACGTGAAAAAATATAGAATTTTAGAAAAAATGGCTAAAGATGGCCATGTTGATCATTCATAATTTCTCAATATGTAATGACGTCTTGACTGTCGTGGTGTCCCAAAGGTTAAGGTGAACGCTTGTCTTGCATGAGGAGGCAGTTTCGGTTTTTTTTTAAACTTTCCGAAACTGATCATTCGTAATTTCTTAATTTGTAATGACGTCTTGACTGTCGTGGTGTCCCGAGGCGCCCGCTTGTCGTGCAAGAGGAGGCAGGTTGGGAAAGTACCAATGTAATTTTTTCCGAGTCATATGTACTTTCTAAATTCATTTAAACAGAACAGACCTATTAATTTAATCCACGGTACACATTAATCGATATATAAATGAATACATTAACAATAAAGAAAAAGTTGTAAGGAAATCTAGGAAGAGTTATTTAAATAAATTTGAAATCACCAATCCGCCTTGAGCATGACTTGAGCGTGGCGGTTAATGCGCAAACCTTCTCCTTGCTAGAACAGGCCTTTGTTCAGCGGTGGCCTTTTATCGGCTGATGATGTGATGTGACATAACATTAGTCTATGTATTCTCTATCAGCCTCTGTGATTGAAGTCTTGAAGCCACGAAGCCTTACTCGGTATTTAGTAGATCTATATGCCTAGATAATTATTTTACCTCCCATAATTTTCACACCGTTTACAACACGTTCATTAAGTTTAAAAGTGTGGGTCGGCTCGACCGGAATGGTCAGCCTCACAGAAAACCGGCGTCAAACAAATACAGCGTTTTCTTTCGCCGTGTGATTGAGGTTATCGGAGGCCTAATTCTTTTTCTCTACCCCAATCCCTGAATCTCCGAAAGTTTAATAAAAATCCATGGACGGCGACAATTACGATGCTATCACATAAAAAAACTGCTGAAAAGACCTCATCTAATGACTTTTAGATTTTGGAAATGAGTGCGTAAGATTCGTGGACTGTTTATTATTCCTCATGCTACCAGATCATGAGTACAGAAAAACAAAGAGGGCACATGCACCGGAGTATTTAGGTGCATATGTACGTTTTAATTTTATTTCTGGCCTAGTTAGAAGTGGTTGGGGTTCTCTCGACTATTTAACACATTCAGTGCCCCCGACGCGTATGTGCGTTTCCTCGCACGCACATACGCGTCGGGGGCACTGAATGTGTTAAAAATTTACCAGTCTTCAGTGTGTAAGTGCCCACTACTGAGTAAAGGCCTCTTCTCACACAGATAAGGTTTGAGCATTAAATACCATGCTTGCTTAAGGAGGATTGGCGATTTCAAACTTATTATTACAAATTATTAGTCCAGGTTTCCTTACGATGTTTTCCTTAACCTTATCTTGACGTTACGTATCCTTGAACTCAGAAAAGAAAGGAAACAAAATCTGTATAAAAGAACACCCTCCTCTCCATGACGGCAATATAATTGGGGCGTTCCCACAACCGTCCTACAACTCGACTGATAAAGAATTTAATTACTGACCAGTCGTTTTAAAAATAGAACATTATCTGTGGTAAAAATATGCTAGGTTACAAGATAATGTTTATTTAATTAATTTATTGATCTCCCCGTTGTTACATGTCTGTTTTACGGAGCGACGCAGTTTTTTCGTTTTATCTGCGACATTTGTAATGTCACAACCTTTATTGGGGTAAATAGGTAAATATATAGTTCGGAGAACTTCGAATGGAGAATTATTAATCATCAGTAATGATTCGTAGAAGATATGTACTGCCGGAATTTTGGCAGATAAAAATAATACTGACATTTATCTTTATCTGATTAAGAGTCAGTGCCAATGCAAAGACATCAGGATAAGATTTATCAGAGAGCCGAACTTCTTGGTCTCTGTCAAATATCCGAATATCGATAGTGTAAAAATCCCGGGCCACCACGAGTCGCGCTTACTGTGAGCCAAAATTAGAAGACAGCTTTTTTAAACTTTTCATGCACCTTTGACTTTTGAGAACTATGTATATGTAAATATGTCAGCCGGCGTAGCGCATGCAAGCGCTATGATGTTACGTAGAGGAGACAGAACGGATTGGATTTTAGACAGAAAAAATATATAATAAATAATATAAAAAAGCAGTATGCTTATCAGACACACATTGTTTTAGACCTAGTGTACCCAAATTTCATCTGTTTTAAATATTTTTTATTTTAAGTTGCATGTAATACTTGGCCGGCCTCTTAGGTTCCATGATATTTCTGAAAAAACAACTTCAATTTTTTTTATAGTTAAAATTATCAAGTTCTCCCTTCTGCCCTATTTGGGGTGAGAACGAGAGTGTCAGGCAGTGCCAACCTGGACTGGACTACATTATTGGACGATATATTATTGCGCTTATACCCGCAGCCGCGACTGACAATTATGATAAACTGAAAAAACCCCCAACTGCTGAAAAGGACTTCAAAGACATCTTGCTTAGCAGTTGGGCTTATGACTACTCGAAGAACATCAGGAAGGTAGTCAAAAGACATGATTGTAAAGCCTAAATTACAAAAAAAAACGTTGCTGGTCGTCATGAGTTTTTTCTGGATCGCGGTTGTGCTTAAAAACATACGATTTCACAAAACAGACCCGGAACGACAATTTGTGGATCACACAAAGAGTTGTTCCGTGCGGAAATACAACTCACGACACGTTGCATGGCAGTCAGTTGTCCAGCCACCGTGCAGTCTAAAAAATATGTGAAGTTTACTTAGAAGACTCGTTATCTTCAATCGCAATGAGTAATAGGGTGACATCATTGAAGGTGCATCGCTGCAGTTTTGCCGAATAATCGTTGTGTCGGTCAGTGGCTAATCTAAATCGTTAATGTGAAGATGTAGAGGACCAAATGGAATATAAGAGATATTGTAGAATGCTAAGGAAGGCATTTAAAAACAAAGTCACAAATTTTAAAAACAAAGTGGAAAAAAAGGCATTTAAAAACAAAGACACAAGAATTAGGGATTTAGGATAACGTCGTGGTGGAACCGAGGTGTTTTTTTTATTTATTTTTTCTGTGGCGAAAATTTTCAAATGACTTCTCCCACCCAGGGCCGGGCAGGAGGGAGTGTCAGACTCTTATTGACTAAAAACCGCCCTGTTAGTTCTCCTGCTCTGGGCCTTGGCTCAGAGCTGCCTCATTACGCTTACCCCGCAACGACCACGAATGAGTCGGCTTGACCGGAGTGATACCACGGCCTCACAGAATACCAGCGTGAAACAACCCACAGCGTTATGTTTCGCCGTGTGAGTGAGGTTACCGGAGGCCCAATCCCTCCCACTCCCCTATCCCTTCCCGAGCCTTATATCCCCAACCCCTATCCCCAAAAGGCCGCAACGCACTCGTAACTCCTTTGGTGTTGCGGGTTTCCATAGACGGCGCCGATTGCTTACCATCAGGTAATCCGTCTGCTCGTTTGCCGACTTATACCATAAAAAAACCCCGGCTAAAGATCATATACCCTACCCTACCTATAGGGCCCCGTCTGTGGTAGTCTATTGGCTCTTAGAGCTCTTACTCGCCGTCCGCAGACCCGCGCTTACGGTGGCCGGAGATCGTCTCTTGATCCCAGACACCCGTAGTGTCGCCTGCTGTGGCGGCTGGGGAGTGAGGAGGAGGATTGCCGCCTCCCTCTTTGCGAGCATAACTGCTTCACAGAAGGAAAAGACAGCGTCCTAGTTCCTCTCGCTCCGCACCATTGCCTCGATTAAGGCTGGGCGCGGGAGGTCGCTGCCGCATAGCCCGGAGGTTAAGACGTCCGCTTCTCATGCATTAGGGTGTGGGTTCAAAAATAATAAAATAATTTCTATGATTATTTAGACACCACTTACATACGGTGAAGGAAAATATCGTGAGGAAACCTGGACTCATTATTTTTAAGTTTGAAAACGCCATTCCGCCGTGAGCAAGCTTCGTGATTAATGCTCAAACCTTCTCCGTATGAAGAGAGGCATTTGCTCAGCAGTCGACACGTATAGGCTGATTTAGGAGCCATTGGAGCATTTGGCGATTGAAAATGGGGGACAGGACAGGACAGAAGCTTTTGGCAACCTCAATTACATGACGAAACAACACAAGCATAGTTTCACACTGTTTTTGTGTACCAGTATTTTGTTAAATTTTACTTGAGTAAAAAATTTTAGAACCGCGAGTATAACACATTTGGTTTTGTTCAGTCTCCCTAGTTATATAAGTAAATGCTGGTAAGTAGTATACAATGAAACAGCCGGGGTAGGCCTTTGCAAGTAGCGAATCTGGCGTCCACAAGTGGAATGTTGCAAGCTTTAAAACATAGGATAGATTACACTGCAAAAAAATGAAATACAATTTGACTAACAATAGTTTCAACTGAATGATGTCACTAATATTTGTTATATTTATGTTCTTATCAACTGCATTCTAAAAAGGCTAGGTATAATTGTGTTAATTTCGGTTTCTTAGTAGCGCGGTAGTTCGAAGTTTGCAATTGGTCCTGGGTCAAAATTAAATTATGAAGACTCAAAACAAAAAAAAATTGCTAGAAAATAATCACAAATAACCACAATTAATAAAAAGTCGTGGTGGCCCTGAGGTTAAGCAGCCCACTTTTCATTCATGAGGTTGTGGGTTCGAAACCTGGCAAGTACCAATGTGACTTTTTCCGTGTTATATGTACTTTCTATGATTATTTAGACACCACTGACATACGGTAAAGGTAAACATCGTGAGGAAACCTGGACTTATAATTTCTTATTATAAGTTTGAAATCGCCAACCTGCATTGAGCAAGCGTGGTGATTAATGCTCTAACCTTCTCCGTGTGACAAGAGGCCTTTGCTCAGCAGTTGGCACTTATAGGCTGATGCTGATGATGATGAATAAAATTTTACAATATTAATAAATTTTTCAACATCCATTTTGTGTGTGTGTCGGTGTTTCTTTTTTATTTTCTAGGTGTGCAAACGAGCATACGTCTTACCTGATGTTAAGCAATCACCGCCGCCCATGGACACTCATAATACCAAAGGAGCTACTACAAGTGCGTTGTCGCATTGTCGACCTTTTGTGTGTTTTTAAGGGATCTAAAGATTCAATGGCTTTTCTGGTCCCGAGGATGGCGAAAAGGAATGCCAGAACACAGGGTTTTTAGTAAGCAAGAGTTTGTTCTTGTTTTTAGTTAAAACCACCCTATTCAAAACCACCTTGCAAACCCGGCTGACATAGTGACACTTACACCGGGTTTCCGAAAGGCCGATCAATGTTAAAATCAATTTAATCTCTTTAACAGGAGATTAGTTAATTTTAGCGTTGACAAGCCTTTCAGAAACCGGGTGTGAATGCCACATAAAAAGTTTACCAATTTGAAACTAGTTATTTTATCTTTATCAATGTCATATTGAAAGTGATGAGCCTATTGCCGATTCCAGAATCAATGCTGGGTGTCTCACTAGTGAGAAATTTTCCAAAAACCGAATATTCCTAATGTCTCCGAATGCTACTAAAACGCGGAAGTTTGATAGTACGGTTTGTTTTCAGGCATAGGTATATTACGCTAGTTATGCTATAAAAGAGCGGCGCCTTCTGGTAAAGGCGCCGCTTTTACCAGAAGGCGCCGCTCTTTTATCGCAGTTTGCCAAATGTTAAAAGTACCGAATGTGACATATTATTAAACGGTAATAAATTGGAATTTGTAAAACAAACTACTTTTCTGGGTATAACCATAGATGACAAACTACAATGGGGGCCCCATATCACATCTCTGGCAGGACGGTTGAGCTCTGCAGCATTTGCTGTCTGGAAGATCCGACAGCTAACAGATGTGGACACTGCAAGACTGGTGTACTTCAGCTACTTTCATAGCATTATGTCGTATGGCATCTTGTTGTGGGGACAGGCTGCTGACATTGAGTCTATCTTTGTCTTGCAAAAGCGTGCCATCAGAGCTATTTACAATCTAAGGCGTCGTGAGTCTCTTAGAGAAAAGTTTAGAGAGATCAATATTATGACCGTGCCATGTCAGTTTATTTATGAAAACATTATGTATGTTAGGAAAAACTTAAAAATATTCGATAAGGTGTCAGATAGACATAATTATCAAACTAGACATAGAGATAGATTATGTCAGCCATTATTTAGATTGGCAAAGGTACATAAGTCGTTCATGGGATTCTGTGTTAAATGTTATAACAAAATCCCAGGCGAAATACAACAATTAAATGAAAGAAATTTTAAATTATGTGTAAAGAAAACTTTATGTAGAAAAGCATACTACACACTGAATGATTACATTGTAGATAAAGATGCTTGGAGACATGCTGGTCCTGCTCCACAGGATAGCAAACGTACACCAAAATAAATAACGTTCCAATGGATTTTGCTTGAACGGGACTTCTTCATTTTAGTGAAATTGCATTATATTGTATAACTATAACTTGATAAATTTGTAAATGTGAGTGCCCTGTAACCTATTATAATTGGTTAGACTAGCAGAATGTCGGTCCTTATAACAGCTTGGAGTTGTCATGCTCACTGAAAGGTCACACTGGCGGTGGCATGGGCACTGGATCGCTTAATTCCCTATAATATGGTTGAGTTGGGCGATGCTGGTGTACGTGTCATGCTCGTGAACGAGCGCCGTCAGTTGGGACTGGTCAGCTCCAGACTGTCTATTGTCCTTAGGGTTACTTTATTTTTATATTTGAATAAATATTAGTGTTACACTGTTCTCACATACTTAATTGAACCAACTGTTTGTAAAAGGAATCTGTATGTGAAACTGATTTAAAAAGAGTAACCATGGAGTTTCTTGCTCGTTCTTCTCCATCGGAATCTACACTTTGGAACGAGCAAATAGCTTCACTAAGAGGACTGACCGACAGACTGACACTATTTTTTTATTTTATATTTTGTTTGACGTTCAAAAGTGCCTGTAAAGGTCTAATTGGAATAAATGATTTTTGACTTTTTTTTGACTTTTGCTTAGCATTACATGCTAAAAAGGGGACGCCACCAACTGTAGTTTTTTTTTATTGTAATAATGAAATAAACATTTTTGATTTTGATTTTTTGATAGGTCGCCAAACCAGACGTATAACCTGATGGTAAGTAATCGGCGCCGCCCATGGACACTCGCAATCCCAAACGAGTAGAGTTAGTACAAAACTTAGGGCTATTAGGGATTTGAAGATAAAGTATGCTTCTTCATCTGTTTGGTGTAAAACGGGGATTTAATAGTGTAGTTATGGTACAAGTTTTTAAGTTATCACTACAATTATTATAACACAAAGTCGCTTTCTCTATCCTTTCATCATAGGGATGAAAGGTATGCTTAAATGTGGTTTTTTTAAAAGATAGAGTGATTGAAGTGGAAGGTTTATATGTATAATAACATGCATTAAATAGTGGAGTAATTCAGCATCAGCATTACTACCATGCGAAGCCGAGGCGAGTCGTTAGTAAAGTATGTAATAAAATCATAATACATAAACTTATATGTATTTTTTACTATTTTAGAAAGAACAATAATGAATGTAGAATGAATCCTAGTATTTTTATATAGTTCTATAATGGACTGCGTTTTATTTACCGAGCAAATTGAAACAAAGGATTTGTGTACAATGTTACAATGTTAAGACTACGCGGTCCTGTGATCCGAGTTCTGATAATGTAATAACTTTTACATATATGTAATATACATAACATTAGCAGCTCATAAAGATATACTATACAGCCAAAATTTTTTATAGATTTTTAACTTTACCCTCTTATATTTTGAATTCAGAATTGAATAAAGAAGTTGATAATTAAGATTACTTTGAAATGTTTAAGGACGATGTGTTTATTTATTGTCATTCGAGTAGACAGACAGACAAAAAACTAAAGATAATTAAGTCTAATAAAGATCATAAAGAAGGTATGACTAACAAAAGGAATATTCAAAACTGGAGCATAAATCACACACGGATGACATTAAAGAATTTTCTAATAGATTTAAGAAAGAATTTGGAAATAAATAATACTTTTTATAATGCAAACTTACCCTCAAATTTTCACAAACAACGAAATGAACTTTGCAAAACACACACGAAAAATGCCGGGAAATAATGGCGGTCAGCCGGGTTCGAAATTCGATTCGAAAAATTCGGAATTCGCGGATTCCATATTTGAAAATTGGGACGCGCGCGCTTGTTAACTGCCAGCACAAGACTGATGCTAACAGAACACAAACTCGACCCGTAGTGAACAAAAATGCGTGGGATCACTACAAAATTGAATCATGTACATTTAATTTCGCATCCGCATCTTCGACCTTATTTTTTGGGTGCCAAGGTTGATTTTGGGTGGGGTGTTACGATAAATTTTACCTTTTTAATTTTTCAATTTGTTTTAATTGTACATGTTGGGTCCTTGTGGTGAAAAGCTTTGCTTTCGACATCAAATTGCTGTGAGTTGATTGGTGGATATAAATATCGTTTTATACAATAAATTAGCTGCATTGGATTATTCATAGGCACTAATGCGTAAGAATCACTTTATTATGACATAATGTTTGCAAAAAATAAGGAAAAATTGACAGATAAGACGAAAAAGGTGTAGTATCTTCCAGGACCATAGAATAACAAAAAAGTTTTGATATTTATTAGGTTATACGGTATTTGGCAACAAGTCTAATTCATTACTTTTATTCAATGTCAAAATGAAACTGTTCTATGAATTTGGTATGAAAAACAGAAATGTGACGCCAACGCCATCATAATTTTTAAGTTGACCCAAAAATACAGCATACATTTTTCTTAAAGTGTAACCAATAAAAATGTATGATTATTTTTGATTATTTAGTTGTATTGAAATCTTGAAGCATTTTTGACCAAGGAGATTACCCAGTTGTGTCCTGCGACAAGAATGATACTATGGAAACAGATAAAATATATATTTTTAACTACTTAACACATATTTCGACATTGTGATCAGTTTGTATAACTGGTTTACGTCAACCTTTTCTAAACTAAGCATGTCTTTTATTTTTAATTGTCATTATTCTCCTTCTATTTAGGTGTTCGATTTTTCTTTTTAAGTGCATAAGCATTACATGAGCCACTAGCTCATGTAATTAAATAATGTAATGTAATTAATCAAGATTTGCTAACAGTACTCGTGGAACGTAATGACGTTGGCTATAATATAGTATAGTAAATATTTATAAAAAAATAATTCCACTTTTTTATGTCGAGACGGCCCATTAAGTAGGTTTCTGTGAAACCAACGTGAAACAACGGTCACGTCAAGTTACTTTAGGCCCAAACCGTCCCCCGTCATCAGCAAACCCCAAATCAATAAGAACCCCCAAAAATACACTTTTAACTCTTTACAAGCGCTGATTGCTTACCATCAAGCAACCTATCAGCTCGTTTGCTACCATATCCTATAAAAAAATATATACACCAAATTTCACCTTCAAGGATGACCCTATTATGTATGTTTACATATGTAGCATACCTACTGAAGTTCTACATTATTGAAAAAAGAGGTTTCAAATCTTTTATAGTTTTATTTTTTAAATGTAATTACGGTGCACGCTGCTTTTTAAAAAGATATTCAACAGTTCGATTCGGTTTGAATTTAGAACATTTTCAAATTCAATTTCATTTAAAAAACGTTGGAAAATAAAAAAAATCCTTATTCCTTTTCTAAAAATGCAGCAGAGACTGATATATGTACTCATTTTGCACTCTGATATTTCAGTCCAGATTCTAGATTTATTTAAATACCTGTATTGCTATTTTGGGCAATATTTATCTGTCAATGTGACCTCTTATGTAAATAAATACATAACAATGATGCTGATAAATTAAATTATCTTTTATGTTGATTATGTAAGAGTTCAAAATCCGCTTTGCGATGTCATTGCTGACAAACCGATTGATCCTAGGTTACAAGATCCAAGATCCAAGGTTCTTAAAGGATTGGTTACAGGCCTCTAAGAATAATTGTTACCTTACCTTGTGGT